GTTCGATATCATCATCTAGAATTGAGTCAAATTACGCTAGAGGTTTGAATTTGATAATTGATTCATATAGCTAAAATAGGTTCGCGGGCGGTCAGGAATCTTTTCTGAATACTATTTTGAAATCTGTCCCAGAAACCCCATTTTTTGCCCTACTGAAACACGTAATCAATTGAGTAATAGCAAGATTTAACTTATGAATTTGAAGAGACTTTAATTATCTTTGAACTACGATTGATATTGGTATATTTTCATAATTAAATTTCTAAATTAGTAAGTATAAAGACTTTCAAATTTACAATATGTGACTCGTAATTTTCTATGATATTAGAAAAATATCTTGATGATGTTATAATAGATTTATTATAACTAAATTGATGATGCGCAGCTTAAAATATTTACAATATTAAACACTTTAACTTGTTGATGACTCTAAATACAGTTGTTAACATAAAGCAATTGTTTGACACTTAAGTAATTTATTGACACAAATAAATCAAAGATGTTAAATATGGTTAACACAAAATGGATTGATATAAAATAAGATTAATATAAGTGATTTATTTTGCTGAGACAATTTAGCAAAGAGTTTTATTAACTTATAAATTAACTTCCTAATTTCCTAAGTTTTTCTCTTAAAATTTCTTTCTAAATTTCTAATGATATATAATAAAATACTCAGCTTATTTATAATAAAATTTCTATACTAAATCGCTATCTATTGCATAAAAACTATGTAATAATTCTCTCATCTTTCTATATAATTTTATTGTAATAATTGAGTAATGACTATCTAATCATTATGCAATAGTCTTATAACTATAATATATATATATTTGAAAAGATGTAGAAAATATAATTATATGTGAGCGTTTTCAGTAAAATCACATTACAGATCATATGATTTACTATACCTTATGACTTGATTTTACTGGAAACGTTCCTATATTATTCTAAAATTATTATCACATCCTTATACTTAGCCTTTAACTAGTTTCTTCTTAAAATTCCTTTTTGGAGTTTCTAGTTTAAAAGGTTATACATGTGATCATAAGTTAATAATCTGTTATTTCATTTCTTCATTAATTGATCTGGTTAATTTTTTAGATCACTTCTGCAGATTATTGTATCATTAATTTCTCACAGAATATTTATTGAAACTAAGACGCTTTTTAATAAGGATTATAAATGTATCCTGATAAGATATAAGTTGTTCAAAAAAAGGTTGAAGTAGTAAATAGAGGTGTGATATAATTTTGTTATTTCAGTGTTTAGTTCTTTCATGAGTCAAAAGTAGTTTTCGTGAAATAAAAGTCTTTTGGCAAAAGTAACACTTGAGTGTCATATCAAGTATAAAAAAATCTAGAAAAAGTATAATACGTTGGTTGCAAACATGATCTAATTTTTATCATATTTTGATGATAACAAATTTTTTATTAGTTGTCATAGTTATCACAAATTATTATAAAATGTCACATTGATGATAAAATCAAATGGAATCAAATCAATCATATGTATAAATTTGTCTAGTTTCAAGGATTCGAATGGTAATTATTTTATAAGAAATGGATAGAGATTGTATTCTTTTTATTTTTGATATTTTAAATACTATTTGTATAATAAAATTAATATAGATATGATTTACTGTGATGATGTAATTTGATGTGATTATATAAAAGGTGACTTTCTTATATTCATTATCAGATGGGACTAAAAATTGATGTGATTATATTTTTATATATTATGTGATTATAAAAGGGGTATTTTCTTATTTAAAAATTTGTGCAGAATTATAATGTGACTAAAGAAGTAATGTAATTATATAGGAGATGACTATATATAGAATTGACTGTTTATACAGATTCAGGCTTATTTTCTATTTTTGTTCAATTAATTTATTTATCTTAACCAGTTATGTATTAGCAATTCTCAATTTATTAAGATTTTACAACTTTACAGGCATATATAAAATATATAAGGATTCATTAATTATTTTCTTTCAAAAAGTCCTATATTATAGGTATTACAGAAATGTTTCACATATCTGTTATGAAATTTTTGAAAACCTTTTGTCAGTAACTATTTTAACAGAATGACATCTAAGATCACTTAGAAATTATCATATCAGCCTATTTTTGTATTATTTTAAGCTTTTTGTCATTTAATATCCCTTTACTAATTCAAAGTTTTATTACTATTTATTTAGTAATATAAGAAAAAGGCAATGTATAAGATCAATAATGCAAAAACATACAAGATTAAAATAAAATAATCAGTATATTTCTAACTATTAAATATGATATTATGAAATATAGATTTTTCTCATCATCAGTTGTATATTTTCTCTATTTACTTGCTTTTTTTTTGTTAGTAAGTAAAAGACTATATAGATCTATGTTAGATGATACGAAAATATTTTGATGTCTGTTTATTCAAAAAATTGAATCAATACATAATTAGTCTTTTTGTTATACTTGTGTTTTAGATTTAACAACAGTTTGCAAAACTGTTTTCTAGTTATATTAATATCTTATTCAATAAACCAATTATCGAAATCTGCAAATTTGACTGATTATTCATAAAATTTGCTATTTTATAATATCAGTAACATGCAATGCAAGCAGAGATAAAGCCACATAATTTTTCATGAAACTAGTATATCACTGAAATATCCAATTACTATATCACAAATAAAGTAACTATTATTATATTTATGTGTTTTTATATAATAGCTATTCTATATCCAATTTAATTAGTTTATATCTAACAGTAATCTTGATATATTATTATAAAGTAAAATGAAAAAATTTAAGATCTACATAATCATAAGACTTTAAGAGATCTTGCAAAAAATCTAGAGTTCTTTTTTATTTTCATATAATTAGATATAGATAAATGTTAATTTATATAGATTTGGCTCTTTTAGATTAGATATTACTGAGATTTACTAATTTACTCAAATTTTGATTAGCTGGTATAATTGAGATTGGTTAAAATTAGGATTAAGGCTTAAGTGATTTATCACTGACATGACACTAGTTAAAGATGAGGGATGAAATCCAAAAAAAGCAATTAATAAACAGCCGAAATTATATTAAAATATAGTGAGGGATACAACTAAACCTGAAACTCAAAATTAACTGAAATTATATTAAAAATATAGTAAGAATACAACAAAATTATTTTGAGAGGGTTTTAGCGAGCATTTTTAATACTAGTAGTATTTCAATTTTTTGGATGGTAATGTTTATTTGTCATTCCCTTCAATGTGTGATAAATAACATAGTTAAATATACTAGTTAATTAGAATCTGGAAGGTAAATTAATGAAATCGTTAAAGCATTCGCTATGGTAATTGCAAATAACTGTATATATTATAATAATAGAATATTGTAAATTCCAAATGTCTTGCAAGAAAAGCTTCAAACCCAGCTTCATTGAAGCATTTTTCACTTTTATTGCGACAAGTACAGTTAGACAAAACAAAAAATTGTTCTAAGTCACTAATAATTGCTTTCATAAATTCATTATTTTCATATTTCTCCGAAAAAATATTTATTGTCAACGTTATTAAAGTTTAGACATAGTCGTACGAAATATCACAATTCACATTGCAGTTTTGTAATCTAGGGGCATTTTGCTAGTCCATGACCGTTCGCGGCAATCAATATTCTTATTCGTACTAATATTTTTCCATGACTTCTGTAAAACTAAACTGGTTGATTTACGGAGAAGATCCTTACGAAAAAGTTTCACAGGTTGATATTGATACTAGTGAGAGAGTTATTGCCCTTAAGAAAGCTATCAAGAAGGATATTAGTGAAAGCGTGTCAGCGAGGGACCTTAAAGTGTTCAAAGTCGATATTTCCCTTGGAGAAGCCAGAAACGAGGATGCTGTTCTTATGTGTAAAACTGATCTTAGTATTATTGGTCAGGAAATGAACAACAACTTACAAAAAATTGGCGTTTATTTTAATGTGCAACCAGTCGAGACAAACTTACATATTTTCGTGCAACTTCCTACTGTTGTCACCGGTGAGTCAAAAATTTAGTCAACGCGATATAGTGTATTTTTTTTCGTCTGTCATATTCGCCAATAATACCGAATACTTACATAATCTTGTGCTTTCTTTTCCTGCATCTTATCGTCAAACCCGCTCAAAAAACACATTCGCGTTATCGTAGAGCATTCTGGTGCTGGTAAGTGAGTCATATAATAAATTAGTCAACGGATTAACCTTTTTATAACTGCTCACCTTTTTCGTTATAATTTTCAAATATTGACTTATTGTACAGTACCCCTTGGCATGTGCAGAAAAATTGAGGATGAAAAGTTGATGAACTTTTGGAAGGTTTTAAAGGATACAATATTTACTTTGAATAAAAAGTTCTTTCGACTGCCCGGGGACGCTCATTTTTTTGGAAATGATAAAGAACCTTCAATACTGTACATTCGTAAATGCTACAATGACCTGAACGATACTGTTTTTAATAACAATGTAAAAAACTTGCGTATCTCGGGCAATCCGGGAATTGGAAAAACCTTTTACGGTTACTACCTACTTTATCACCTTGCACTATTATATAAAACGGTTATATATGACACCCATACCAAAACAGGTCAAGTTATTTTATTTGAGCAGGAAAAAGCCTTCTATCTTCACAGGACACTTCATGCTTATGAGATTACGAGATATTTGAACGATCCTAATGTTTGGTATATTGTGGATGGTAAAAAATGTGATAAGGTTGAAGCAAAGACAATTCTTATTTGCTCGGATCATTATAAAGACTTTGATAAGCTTTCGCCACATATACGATACATGCCAGTGTGGTCTTGGAAAGAAATTGATACATGCAGAAATAAGATTTATAATTCTCTGTCTAGTGATGATGTTCGGAAATTGTACAACAAGTGGGGAGGAATTCCTCGGTACGTTTTGGAGAATACTCACAATATGGAAATTCAAGATCAGCTCCAGGAAGCAATTGATTCATGCAGTGAAAAAATATTCAAATATATTGGTGGAGCTGAAAGTAAAAAGGATATAAGTCACAAACTTATTCATATCTGGACCAACATTCCAGATGAGGATATTATGGGTGAAGTCGATAAGAGAGATGAAGATGACGATGAAGACGAATTTCAGGCTGAGAGAGATAAATCTGGAGTTGAGGATGATGACGTTGGAACCAACATTCAGACCGAGAACATTGTGAGCGATGAAGATGACGAGGTTAAGAGAGAACCATATACAAAGAAAATTATATTATTCGCATCCAATTATGTTGGTAGACAAGTGACCAAGAAGCTCAAAACATCAATATTAAACAAATTGTTTACAGAACTGGAAGAAAGTTTGAGTAGTGGTAAAAGCAATCAATTCTTGGGTAGCTGTTTCGAACAGATAGCACACCAGAGATTGCAAAATGGAAGAGCATTCGACATTCGTTCTTTAGAACCTAATGGCCGAACAAATTCAACGAAAAGTTTTGAAAAGCAAGATGAGATACTTACATTTTCTGAAATTAAAGATATCGAAAATAATATGTATTATCGACCGGAAAGTAAAATTTTTCCGTCGATTGATGCAATTTGTGCTCCCGATAGTCTCTTTCAGATGACCACATCTTTGAACCATCCAATTAAAATAGTTGGTTTGCAAAAAATTTCCGGTAAATTAGCGTCTGATGGTGAAATCCCATTTTACTTTGTTGTGCCGTCACAATTATATGACATATACAAAAAACAGAATTTTGCAACAATTAATAATGCCATTGCCAAAAACGTACCACCTTGGATTAGTAACCGGATTAAGCAATATGCTCTGAGACTTGATTTGAGCTCTGGAGGTTTACGTAGAATGACATATACTGCATTAATTGAAGAACAACTCTCAAATTTATCAATTTTTGGAGAACCATCGACTGCAACAACTACTGACGATGTAGAGATATCATCTGGCCTCTCTATCCCTGCAAAAAGACCCTTGCTAGATAGAAGTTTTCTAGATAGAACTTGTAAAAAGAAAAGAGGAGGTCAATAATTGTTCATTTTACTACTGTATATGTTAAGAATACTGCGTAGTGTATCGAGACCCTAGAAAATTAATAAATAAAGTGTCGCCCACATCGGGTGTTTTTTACAATCACTGCCAAAATAATATAATACTGTTACTGTTATCTGATAAATGTATTGTGCTATGCTATTTCGTAATTATTCTCCCGAATTTTTAGTTCAGACTGCGCCTAGCAAAGTCAGCATTTTCTTGCATGCTATCTCTGATTAATCATCCAGACTATAAACATATTATTGACAAGCTTCCAAAAAGCTTAGTTATGAGAGCATATCATAGACTTTTGAATCATTTCCGCAATCCCTTGACTCGACTCTTAATTAATAAAACAACATTCGAATATAGATAGTGCTCCAAGACCGGTTATGAAACTGAAACCGGTTAAAACCGGATTGTACCATTTGGCCCATTTTTTTAGTTAACCGCTTTTTATTTTAAGACCGGTTTCAAAGTACAGACCGATTATAATTAAAGCCGAATTTCAATTTGAAATCGGTCTGAAAGAAAAATTAAATTATTTATATGTACAGTAAAAGAAAAAAATATAATAGCTCACCTCCGATCCGGGACTTTAAGACTAACAACTACAGAGAGAGGTAAGAATAAAAATTAGAGAATATTTTTTTTTAAAAGAAAAAGCAAAAAACTTACCTCCAATCCATCATTCAATTCAGGAAGGATTCCAGTTCCGGAGGGACTTCAGCATCTACTAATAAGGTAAGTAAAAATTAGTATTTTTTTTTAAAGAAAAATGAAAAACTCACCTTACATAAATAATCCAAGATTCCGGAGAGACCTCGACATCTACAAAGAGGTAAGAAAAATATTTTTAAATAATTTTTTTTTTTTTTTTTTAAAGAAAAAAGATAAACTTATCTTATATAATCCAGGATTCCAAACTTTGATATCTACAAAAAAGGTAAGAAAATCTATAGATTTTTTACTTATTTTTTTAAAAGAAAAAATTAACAACTTACCTCTATCTTTCAATCTAGGATTCCAGGATTCTAGAAGAGACCTTAGCATTTACAAAAAGCAAGAAAAAATTAATGAATTTATTTTTTTAAAATTTTTTTTTAAAAATAATTAAATTACCTCTAATCCTCATAGGAGGACTTTCATATGATTGGCTGATTATGTTACACGAATTTTGCAATTAGTATTGTAAATATTTTATGCAT